ATATTTTACGCATTTCCTCCATTCCTAGAGACATTTTCTTCCTTCAAATGTCCCCCTTTGTTGTGTGACTCTGGTCTCATATATAAACTCTCATGCCCTCTAGCTTTTTGTCAAGTTGGTGCATGTCATTCATGTGGCTTCAACGATTGTGCACTCTTTGTCTATCAATTAGAAGAATCATCTTTGCAATCAAAACGTTAATCTCAAGGATTTCACACTCTCATATGTGACAAACACTAATGATGAAATGTCTTTTTTTGTGTGGATGATATCTTAATTAGAAGGTGGAATAGATTGAAGTTTGCCCAAGTTGGTTCTATAGTCGATCAGAGGCCATTTTACAAGTATTTATTTAAGTATGGAGAAGTTATTATGAAAGTTGTGGGGTAGTCTAGAACTCCTTACCCTTGAGAAATAATTTTTTTTCTATTTAGGTTTTCATGTTTAGAGCACTACAAATCTACGAGGATTGGAGGTTCTTGCTTAATCAATGGCAATCTTTATATTTAAGAAATGGCAAATGATTTTCTTCCAATTAAGGAGCATTCCCAAGATATATATATATATATGGGTTAAATTCACCAATCTCACCTTGTGCCACTAGAAGGAGCTTGAGCTCACACATGTAAAAAGCAAAATTGGGATTATATTGGTCATAAATAACCATAATGTAACAAAATTCGTCCTCTTTTATTAGAGTGTGTTCAAATTAATTCTTCATTTATTCTACCTAACTCTATTCACATTTATCTTAATGGAAATAAATGTTTGCAAGACGTGTAGTATGAATTGAAACTTTTCTCATGTAAATTCTACAATATTTTTACAAATGAAGGGCCCTCATACACCTCTATTCAATCTCCAGTTGTTGGCTCCTTAGCTAGAGAAAAAAGTATTAGTAGGTTCCCTCGCAGTGGACTTGCTAGGTGCAAACTCTCAATTCCTTTTTTGTAATTTTTAATTACAGCTTGCGAATTCACCTCTCTCCCTAAATCTAAGAGCATTAACTCTCCTAATACTCTTTTAATTATTACTGAATCCGCTTAGCCCAAATTCTCAGTGCTAATACTACCACTTCTCAACTTCTAAGCCTGATTGGAGAGCATTAACTCTCCTAATACTCTAAAATATTTGATTTCCTCCCCTACTAATTTCAAATACTTTAATGATTGTGTCTTTTACATAAGCCTGGTTGAACTTCCAATTCATGCATTATTTTTAGAGTCCCCCTCTTCTTAATTTAGACCATTTGGCCATAGTCATCTATATTTACCTCTAATTATAAATTTATCTTTAAAACATTTTAATCCATTGCATTGGGGACTTAGATTTTTTTCTTAACAGCTTAGTCCTACAATGTTCTTGGTAAAAATCTTACAAAAATTACCAAGTCAATCAAGAGCTCTCCCTAAAAATTATCCAACAAGTATCATGACATCACCATAAAGAACAAAGGCTAGTCGCTTAGATTGTTTAATTTTTCTCTGTCTTGTGCTACTAATAAAGAATTGATTAATATGTCTAAAAAGTTTACAATGATAATTGAAGGCTCTAAATGTGAGCATAACTAGCTTAAGAAAAGATTAGATATGTATTGGCTTATAAAAAGTGAAAATGATATGGATTTTTTTACCAAAAAATCAATTATAAGGGAAACAACAATTTTATAAGGATACTATTGAATACTATTGGATACTATTTAAATGGTTATTTAGCTAGACCTCCTTAGAAGTTCATTTTCTAATGACTCCAATAACCTTCATAGCTAACTTGGTTGCTCCCTTTAATGAATTTGAGATTAAATATGCATTACTTAATATTAATAGGGACAAGTGTCCTTTGTTAGATAGGTTCATTTCTCAATTCTTCATTGCATCTTGCGATTTAATGGGGCTATACTTTAAAATTATTTGAATACATTAAAGTAAATGCAAGTGAATGTTTTTTTTTTGATTTGAAAGAATGAATGTAACGACAAAAATAAATGATATGCCTCGTTTAAGCATCCAAAGAGAAGATATTATAATCGCCTCCTAAGCCCTAATTGTACATCACTTAAAGAAGCATAACTTTTGAGAAGAGAATAGCATGAATGTTCACAAAATGAATGAGCTTTATGATGATGAACTTAAACCTATGATTTAAAGACATTTTTTAATCTTTTGTAGAGAAAAATTAAATCTTCTAAAATATTGTTGCTTTCTACATAGGTATGAATAAATTTGATTTTTTTTTTTTTTGAGAACTTCTAAAGCTTTTTAACCTAAAAAAAAAAAAAAAAAAAAAAAAAAAATTCTTAAAGATTAAATTAAAAAAAAAAACAGGGGTCATGAAGGGCTAGAGTTAGTACGTAGGAGTGTCAATTTTTTACACGACCGAAACCTGATTCAGACCCGACCCGAAAAAACACGGGTTTGGGTCAAACGTTTGTGAAATGGGTCAGGTTCAGGTTCGGATTTCCGACCCGTTTGAAAAAATAGGTCGGGTTCAGGTTGACCCGCTAACCCGCGGGTCGACCCGAATTGACCCGGAAGTCATCCTGCACAGTTGGAGTCTGCCGTCCGCGTGAGTTGGAGTCCGCCGACATCGTGAGTTGGAGTTCGCCGTCCGCGTGAGTTAGGTCGACTCGACGTCGCGTCCGCGTGAGTTGGAGTCCGTCGTCCGCGTCACAGGCCACATAGCTGCGCCCGTTGGTCCTGGCGTCCCGCGTCGCCCTTCAGTCCAAGCATCCCGCGTCCAGCCCGCATAGCCGGCTCGTGCTTCAGCTGCTGCTGCCGCACTCGCTGCTCCGCACTTGGCAGACCCACTCCGCTCTGCAGGCGCGTAGCCTTCGGCCCTCTCGCTCCACAGATGTTCGCGGGTCGGGTCGTGTCAACCCGATAACTCGCACGGATCGAGTTCGGGTTGACAAACCTGACCCGTTTGCAAAATCGGGTAGAGTTAGGGTCAACCCATTACAGTCGAGTCAAATCGAGTTCGACCCGAACCCAACCCTTTGACCCGAATTGACACCCCTATTAATAAGGAGATATTATTAATTATGGAGTCCGGATCGGAGCTGCGTCTATATTCTATGAGTTTGTGCAATAAAAACACAGTGCACACAATAATTACTCTTTTACTGAGCATACTCACAGAATCCGAACAGTTCTCCCATCTGGACTCCGCATGTAACAATCTCTCGCTAGTATGGGCAAGGGCGCGCTCACAATCCTAGCGAATAGTTACACCTTAAATTCTCCTAAATTTGTGATGCAAATTTTTTAAGATTCAAGATATTTTTGGATTTTCAAAACTAAAATTTTTAAATAAAGAGAAATTATTAGGCTAAAAAGTTCTTATGAATTTTGATGCAAAAAATTAGATCTCTAACAACCTAAAAAGCTATTCAAAAACTATAAATTTATTTTAGAAGTCAAATAGATTTCAACTATCATAAATTAAAACTGTGACATCATGATTGATTATAATAACAAAATATGCTTGAAAGTGAGCTCATTAGAGAGTGAATTCGCTATATTAATCAAAGAAAATAGATTTTAGCGGTCATCAATTAGAATTTATGGCAACAGAATGATTATAATAATAATAAAAATGCTTGGATATGAGATCGATAGAGGGGGTGACTCAACTACACCAACTAGAGAAAACATATAAGATATAGACCATCCGATGATGAACAGATTTGAAAGATTATGATAAAAATGGCGAAAACACCAATCTTAAAATCTATAAATAAGCTTGATTCTACATACAGAATAAAGACATAATCCTCATATCTTAGAGAATTTTATACCCTTGGCTAATACCTATGGTTCTAACCAATCATCAACTGATTTCTCATATCCATCTCATAATATCATCTTTAGGTCATTCAAATCCCCCATCTACAAGAGGAGAGATTATTACGTGTGAAGTCTAGACATAAAGAACCGTTCGGTTTTGTAACTGTGAACAGTAAAAGCACAGCGGTGAATAGTAAATGTGCTTTTACTATTCACAATCACAAAAATGAGTGGTTCTTTGTTTCTGAACTCCGCACGTAATAATTTCTCCTACAAAAGAGACTATCTCAATCTCCTCTACTTTCCCATCAATTCCAAGTTTCAATCCTCTCACAGAGAGAGAGAGAGAGAGAGAGAGAGAGAGAGAGAGAGAGAGAGAGAGAGAGAGATTGTTTGACTACTTCCAATAAACCATCAACTCTAGGTCATTTGGTCTACTCAATTTCTAAAAGGCAAGAGACCATCTCAACAACCAAGCAATTGCATCCACTCTAGATTTTCTTAAACAATACTGTAAGGGATTTCGCTATAATTTATTGTACCAATGTTTACTCCAATTTTAAGAAAGGACGGTCCTTTATAACTCATAGCTAAAAGAATAAATTCTCTCATTTTATCAAAATAATATTGCAGCATGCAACAATCATGACCGGCAATAATGATGGTGCCCATACCTTGCCTAACCTTTTAAGTTCATACAGTTCAATCTTTTTTTTTTCATTTAGGTTAATTAAAGTAAACTCACATACACATCGCAAATACAATACTCAAATTCAAAACTTCTTAATTGATAATCACAACTCCCAACTAAAAAACAGGCTTCATTTGGAATGACTTTCTTACTGCTATTTCAAACAGCTTTCTAATACAAAAAATTTATTTTTTTACTTAAAAGCTGCTTTAAGAAACAAAAAAAAAAGTCATTCCAAACAAAACCTAAGTAGAGATATGCATACAGTTCAATCCATTATCTATGGCACAACACAATGTTCTCTTTTTCAGAACAAGAAAATAAATTCAGGAAATAGAACTCCTTCACAATGGCAAAGCTCTCAAAGCCACAAGCCACAAAAGTTGACAGTATGCAACAGTCGAAAACTGGAGAAACAGATAGTACATGCTGGTGGCCTCCACAACTTCCCAATTAAATATCGAATTATAAGCAAAAAAGACACAAACAACAAAACTTATCAATAGAATGCCAGAATACTCGAATCATGAAATCGAAAGAAACCAAGCAAGAACAAAATTCCATAAAGTATCCTTTACATCAATGTCTGCTACTAGTTCCAAACAACATAAATGATTTCACATTTCCTTGCAGCCCACAAAAGAACAAAATAGACATTTGGTTTTAAATCTACAAATAAAACAAAGAAACAAAAGGAGTTACGATCAACATAACAAAAGATGCAGATGCCAAAAGGGCCCACCATTTTGGGGGCAAAGAGAGACTATGGGAGCTCAGTAATGGCATCTTCATTTCCATTTTCATTTCCAATGTTGAGAGACTCACCTTGGAGTTTCGCGTTGTTGTAGTTTGTATATTTCTTGGAAGAGGCTTTGCATTGCTGTACGGGATACTTGCGAGCATTGAGCTCTAACTTCCTGAGAGCAGCCTTGCCCAGATCTACACCGCAGATGTCTGAGAGCCTAACAAGGTATAGCAGAACATCAGAGAGTTCTTCACCTAAATGCTCTTTCTCATCTTTGTTCCAGTCTGGTAAACCCCTGGGCACTTCTCCTTTCCATTGAAATATTTCTGAAAGCTCCCCAACCTCTCCAACCTTTAACAAAAGCATTAAAAAAATCAACAAACAAAGAAGAAGGTGAAGAAATAGAACAAATAGAAATACATAAAAACGATCATTAACTAAAACAAAAAAGAGGATTTCATACATAGCACTCAAAATTATAAAATTTATATATTTCACGTTTAGATGTTACTATGCACTTAATTAATGGAGTCAACAAAACTCACGACAATGATGAAGCCATGATGAGTCTCGCTAGACAATAGGAATGTGTGATGAGATATTTGCTAGGAAGGAGCTTTGATCACCATGCCACTCCTTCCTTGCAGGGAAGGATCTTTCATAGATGAAGAAGAGATGAGAAAGTCAAGACGGGATATCTCAACGAGAAGGGCTGATAGGATCTGCAATGCAATGTTTTTTTTTTCTCTTTTTTTTGGGACATTTAGATCAAATAAGATAGACTCACACATCATCGCATATATAAGACTTGAATCCAAGACCTCTTAGTTGTTAGCTGAAGCTCTTAACCAATAGATGAAGATGAGTTGTGTAATGACCTCTTCCTCATTGTTAGTGTTGGGATTATTGGAAGAGAGTGAGGAGGGTGTTATTTTTTATGTTAAAAGATTTAAATATATGTGTAAATAATAAAATTTATGTGTTAAAAATATAAATTCTATAGTTTTTTAAGTGTTTTGGATGTAAATACTTAAAAATTAAAAACTTATTATATTGCTTGTTGTTTACCACAATTAATTTTTAGACTTTTGATCAATTTATATATTTTTGTAATATTATATATTTTCACATTACATCATGCACCTTTTTGTGATACCAAATATATCATTAATTTTATCCTCACACGCACAGAAGAGTCTTAGTCTTAGTCCCTTTCTTCCACCCATCTCCTCACCCTAGTTATTACTTGAAAGCTTATGATTATTTCTTTCTATAAATAATTATCATTATATGATGCTCTTTTTTAATAATCGGATATCGTCAGGCTCTTGTTCATCCAAAATAAGATTTTTTCGAATTATATGGTAATTTATAAATATAATATAAAAATTTTACTTTTAAATTCTCCTGCAAGCTATTCTGAGACAATTAAATTTAATGAATTCAGCAAAATATCCTCAACTGCTACCGAATTTAATCAGAGGTAGAGAGAGAGAGAGAGAGAGAAAGAGATAGGATATGAGATTAATTAGAAAGTAAAATAATGAATATCGACTTAAATATGTGATGAATTCCCAGGAGGTAAAAAAAAAAATGAGTAAAAAAAGAAAAACAAAAAGAAAATTTTGGTTCCTATTTTCTTCTGCTCGGATTTGTATCGTCTCCGGTTACCGAGGTAGCTTTATCAGGATTTTTGAATGACTTGCGATTAGATCTCATTGATTTTTTCAAATTATTTTAATTTAAAAAAAAAATAGTCACTCCAGTTAGTTGCCATGATAATTGGAGAGGAATAGAATACCTATTGCAGTATTGCTCGCACTTGTTTGGTCAATTTAGGGCCCCTTACGCTTCTAAAAAGGGCTGCTACTTTTACAATAGAGGTAAAGCCGTCCTCGAATACACAGAAAAAAAAAAGGCGATATTCAAGTAAAATAAATTTCACAAGGAAAATAGAGATGAAACGCCAAACCCATTATGGTAGGTACTTGGGAATGTCTACTCATTGCAATATGGAAACCCAAAACAAGAAGATGGGGGAACGGGAAGAACAACTGAAAGAGGGTTAGGGTTTTGTGTGAGTGGATAGATTACCAGAGCAAGTAGAAGATTCCTCGGACTATGGAACTGATCCCAATCTCTCTCCCTCGCAAACTCGGCCATTCTCTTCATCAGATCATTAATCGTCACGCTATTCTCCTCTTCCATTCCGCCTTCTTCCCCTTTCATATCTCAACCGTTTCAACAAGTGTCCTCGTCGAATCAACAGAAATGGATGGAGCCAATGAGCCAAAAAATTAAAAAAAATTGACTCTCTCTCTCTCTTTCTCTCTCTATTTCTCTCTAGCTTTCCATGGCTGCGAACAATTTGCTCCCGCCAGCCTTATGCCCCTCGAAGAAAAGAAATGGGGAGGGAGGAGGAGGAGGGGAGAGGGACCAAGAGTTGGATAAGCGGGGACAGAGCGGAGGCCGGCAGGGCTGGCTGCCTGGCTTTATGCAGAAGGTTTCCGGTGCACGTTTAGGTCATTTTTTTGGGGAGTGTGGGGCGGGGCAGGATCTTACATTCACTAATTAATCGCACACACCGTTGAACCATAGTCTAATTATTCGACATGTGGCATGGTCAAACACGTGGACGAGCCACGCCTCTCGTGTCGGTAATCTGCAAAGGAACTAAAATGTGGTTGAGGTTAAATTAAGCTAAGTAATAATAATAATAATAATAACAATAAGCTAAATTAAGACTTTTAAAAGAGTTAAGAGGTTTGATGGTTTAAAAAAAGGTAAGCTATAGTTAGTAAAGCAAGTTCATAAAAATATTTTATTATTCTTTGATTCAAGCTCATTTAATTTTAACATATAATAATTTAGCTTATAATTAGTGAGGAAATATCATAATAAATATTATTTAAACTTTAAATAATAAATTTATCATAAAATTATTTAAATATATTATAATTATCTTTTGTTAAAAAATCTAATTAATCGCAACTATTTTTGTTATGGGTAGAAAAGTGATAAAAATTTTATTTAAGTATCATAATTATTATAATTAAAACCTCATTTAAACATAATTACTATTAATTATGCATAATTAGTTATTAATTAGTTTTTACATACTTAAGAACAATAATTATCTTACTTAAAATTTATATAAATTGTAATACATTTTTATTATGAGTAATCACATGATTAATTAATTAACTCATATGTTAATGATGAAATTTCACTCTTCCTAGAAGGAAGGAGAACAGGGGCTAAGAGCTCATATATTTATGAATGAAATATAGATTGTGTACCCTATGGGAAGGCTTAAACTTCTTTCAATGAATTTTAACATCATTAAGTCCTTCATGCAATTAAATCTAAAGAATAATATTCTTCTAAGAGGATTTCTAATAACAAATATTACTTGAAAGGACTCTCAAGAGGAGTGTCTATTGTGATATTGGAAATAAGCCGAGATTAATGATTTTGAAATGATGATTGTCATGTGGACGATTGTAACGTTTTCTACTATTTAACTGAATTTTGAATATAATATTTTTCTTCATTTTTAAGATTCTATAAATAACCTTTTGGGCTTTAAAATATTTTCATTCACTATTACTCATACTCAAAAATATTTTGTCTTCTTCTTAAATGGGTGTTCCTTTTTATGAAATAGAATATTCCATCAAATATATAGATTAAAAAAAAATTAAGCCATAAGTTGCCTCATTAAGATTAAGGTCAAGTTGCTTAAGATATCCCTCAATTTATTATTAATTATCCCTTAGTGTAAATCATTATTGATTTTCAAATAGATAATGAATCATATATGGTTGATGTTGAATTCAAATATGGTAAACTTTTTTTGGAGGTGCCTAGTTCCTTGTTCAAGGAATTAGGTCTTTCTGTGTTTCTTCTAAATATGATCTTAAAGGACATGCCTTCCTGCAAGAGTCTTTTTTCCCTTCATTTACATGTACTATCTATAGAGGAGGATGATGATAGAGATATTAATGATAAAAATGAGGTGGTGATTTGGATGTTCATCATATCATTTTCTTAATCTCCAACATCGATGTTTTCATATATAGTATAGATTTTCAATTTCTAGCTCTTTGGGAAAAAAGTGGAGAATTTTTAAGAAATATGTGATAGTGATGAATGAACTCCGATTTAAAAAGGTTGTAAAATTAAACTTCACCTCTACTCGAAATAATCAATGAACTTGATAAGAAAATGGACCATTATGATGTTTGTGGCTCTAATTATGATATTGCTGATAGGGAACTTCTCATAATCAATAATTAAATATATGAGTTGAAGTAATATTTTGATGATCACAATGGTAGAATGACTATATCAAAGAGAAGCTCTAGTTCATGAATTTGAAATAATGTGATTACTAAAGTAACATGATGAATGAGATCTTAAAGATGGATATTTTTGTGTATTTTTTTTTTCTTAGTAAGATTGATGATATATGTTTGAAACAGTATAATGAATTGCAATAGTTCATTATGGACCAATTCACTCTATATACTCATGATAGTAGTTTATCCTAAAGCTTTTCCACTAAAAGGATTTTTTAGATCTAAACAGAGTCCTCAAAATTTATATGGGATCAAGCTTTTCAATGAATATTATTCCTAAGATTAGTTACATCTTAGGAAATTCTTGAGAATATTGTATATTAAGGAATCTTGCTTATGTTTAACTTATGTTTATTTAAATATTATTGATCTCCTTCAATAAGAATATTTTAGGACTCAAAGTAAACGTATGGGTTAAAAGAATTAGCATTGAGGCAAAGATTAATTTGAGAGAAAGGATATACATATCAAAGGCCTACTAAGGCTTGGGATATGATATGGATATAAATTTATGAAACGGTGAAGGATATTGGTGGATTTTAGGATATGAGGCATAAATATAATATTGTAATCATATTAACACAAGTTTAAAGCCTGAAAAACTCCTTACAAGAAGTATATATATATATATAATAGAAGCCAAGGATGGAAACATAAAAATAAATAAGAGTTATACTTTAGAATATTAAAATAAATTCAATTATCAAAATAGTCCAAAACTATAGCTTGTGGAAGTTATTAGAGAAAGGAAGTTTCATAAATTTTATGGTTGCAAAAGGGATATAATGATACGAGATAAGTAAGGATAACCTAGTAAAAAAAGGATAAATCTTGGGAACTAGGATGATTAATCTAAGATCGGAAGAGATTAACCTAGGGAGTAAGGATGATTGAACTAAATTGTGAGAAGACTAATCAAAGAAAAAGTCGACAAACCTAGAGAAGAAGGACTAACCTAGGAGAGAGGAAGAAAACCCCGATTAATATCCATAAATTTCCATCATCTTACTCATCATAACTTATAGTCTACTTAACTAGAGAAGATATTCATACTTCTTATATCAAAAGAATCCTTATCAACAACCAAGGGCTAAAAATAAAGCGGTGATATATATGAGGGAGTTTTCTAGACTATAAGAGATATTTATACATGTGATTTAATAACTTTATCATGCCTATGACAAATATGTCCACCATATTGGATTTACATAATGTATGATCATGAATGTCACTAAACCACTTAGGTCCACATAAAAAGTCGCTTTAGTCAATTTTAGATGGATGTTAGAATGATAGACACATCTCTAAGATGGCTAACATAGGAAAGACACGTGTAACATGCTTTTGTTTAGAATATCTATTATAATATAAATTTTAGATTATGTTCATGCTCATAAGGTCATCCTATGATGTATGTCTTAGTTAGGCTCTTGCTCTCAAGTCACTTCTATATGTATAATATTATAAATTTTGATTGATTTCCTATGTATTTTTACTTATCCTAATGTAATTTTAATAACTTTAAGACAGATTATGAACCAAAAATTTTTATGCTAATAAGTTGTGTAATTCAAACAACAAATAAGCCCTATGTTTGCTCACATTTAAATATAATAATTAAAAAAAAATATCATTTTAAATATAAATGTATTTGTGAAGTGATGCATTACTCTTGTGTAAGATTTTTGTTTTAAAAAAATATTTTAAGAAATGATAAGAAATCAGTCCCAAACGAAGCCTAAAAAAGTAATCCCAAATAAAATTTAAATATAAGAAAATTCAAATTTTGTCAAACTTGCTTGAATTTAATAATAAAAGAAATAAACTAGTAAAGAGCCGTTGAGTATTGATTCTTGGGCCATAGAGTAATTCTTTTATTGTCTAATCAAATGGTTCAAAGCGGGCAATGGTACGAAATAATAATTTTATGCATTTCAATAAGAAAAACTATTTGTAGTTAAATATATTGATTATTCGCACGCTTAGACGATGTGGGATCCACACGTGCCTGATGGCTCGTTAACTTTTGTAATAAGAAATATGTGTGGAGAGCCGCGAGAGGAGAATTATTTAACCATTTGAGCAATAATGAAGTTGTAGATATTTTTATTGGGCCATCCAAAGGTAAATTAGTGTAGCACAAGTCTTGCCGCATAAATATAATGAATTTTGGTTGGGATTAATCTCATCTATCCTGATTATTTAATTTGCTTTGAATGGTTTAAATTATGAGGTCGGGTTGCAGGTCAGTTGGTTCATAAAAAAAAAAAAAAAAAAAAAATCCTCCAAATTTTGCCCGCCCCCTCACAAAAGAAAAAAAAAATCAAATTATATCTGCATTTCTAGAAATTTTAATTTTATGGAATTCAATTTCAGCTTTCTGAAGTAAATTAAGTCAATGAGATGGGTGAGCTGCATCATATGACTATTATAATTGATACGTCAATAAAAATTATTTTGATTTAACATGAATTTTGAGGTATAAATAAATTGAAAAGTTTCAAAAATAAAATTGGGATCATCCGAACTTTGATCTCCAATATCAGCAAACTTACAATCAAATGGTACATCTCGAGAAGATGAATCCAACACGTCAAAAGAATCCACTGTAGGATGGGTGACCTTATGGAAAGTTACACCAATAGGATACAGCCTTGAGGCTCTTAGGTTAAAATGGATAATATCTCGATAGTTAAGAATTTATGCTGCTATACATTGACTCTCCCATTACTTGTGCTAGCTATAACACTAACCAACTGCGTAACATTGTTGGATGGGATTGGAGCGACATTGTACTGTTCATTTAGTGTATTTTGCTCTGCAAAATTCATTTAAATTGTTCATTTATAATATTCTGGTTGAACAATTCACACATGCGATTAATTATATAGGTAAAATAATGCATCTTAATATACCAAGTCTTAGCCAATTCATAATTAATTCCTATAGTTCTCATAACTACCAACTTTGCCACACCTCAAAGTATAAATTAGAAAAAATTATATCTTTTATCTTTTTATAATAACAATCAGAACTATCAAATCTCTTTCAATAATAAAATATCAGTAAAAAATTACCCCAAAAATTTTATACAATAGGTAGAAGTTATACAATGCAACACACTATCTATCTTCTCCTAACTACGAAAAAAATAACAA